CAATTTAAATTCAAATTTCAGATGAGCAGGGATCAACTTTTAGTATAAGATACTAATTGTAGTGTAAAATTCGCTAAGAATCTTTATTATTCATTGTTATTGAAATTGGAATTTAACTGAAGTTCAAATCCAAGTAAAACTGTGTTTCAACTGGCAACCCCACTTGGGATCCGTGAAGCCAGAAGCCAGCGACCCGGCTGCCTTGCTGCTTGGTGCTCCACTCGGGGTGCCCTCTGTGCATGAGCCTTCCTAACATCCCTTTGTGGGTGCCTGGTGGGAGGCGGGGTGGGGCACCAATGTGAGACAGTTTACTAAAAATGTGTATTTTTAAAACAATAACTATTCTCCCAACAAACAACAGCCCAGGGCCAGATGGCTTCCCAGGGGAGATCTACCAAACATTTAAAGAATTAATACCTAGGGGCGCCTGGGTGGCTCAGTCGTTAAGTGTCTGCCTTTCTCTCAGGTCGTGATCCCAGGGTCCTGGGTTTGAGCCCCGCGTCGCGCTCCCTGCTCCACAGGAAGTCTGCTTCTCCCTCTCTCACTCCCCCCTGTTTGTGTTCCTGCTCTCATGCTCTCTGTCAAATAAATAAAATCTTTAAAAATAAGTAAATAAATAAAAATAAATAATTAATACCTATTCTTCTGAAACTGTTCCCAAAAAAAAAAAACAAGAAGAAGAAAGAAATGGAAGGAGAACTTCCAAACTCATTTTATGAGGCCAACATTACCTTGATCCCAAAACCAGACAAAGACCCCATCAAAAAGGAGAACTACAGACCAATATCCCTGATAAACATGGATGCAAAAATTCTCAGCAAAATACTAGCCAATAGGATCCAACAGTACATGAAAGGGATTATTCACCACGACCAAGTGGGATTTATTCCTGGGCTGCAAGTGTGGTTCAGCATCTGCAAATCAATCAATGTGATACAATACATTAATAAAAGAAAGAACAAGAACCATGTGATACTCTCAATAGATGCAGAAAAAGCATTTGACAAAGTACAGCATCCTTTCTTGATTAAAAGTCTTCACAGTGTAGGGATAGAGGGTACATATCTCAATATCATGAAAGCTATCTACAAAAAGCCCACAGCGAATACCATTCTCAATGGGGACAAACCGAGAGCTTTCCTCCTAAGGTCAGGAGCACGGCAGGGATGTCCACTATCACCACTGCTATTCAACACAGTACTAGAAGTCCTAGCCACAGCAATCAGACAACAAAAAGAAATAAAAGACATCTGAATCAGCAAAGAGGAAGTCAAACTCTCACTCTTCACAGATGATGTGATATTTTATGTGGAAAACCCAAAAGACTCCACCCCAAAACTGCTAGAACTCATACAGGAATTCAGTCAAGTGGCAGGATATAAAATCAATGCA